GTTGAATGTTCTCTACTCGAATTCTGTCCGACACATTCATGCTACCATAGATAACGGTGCAGTACTCTAATATTGGGCGAACCATAGCCTTGTACAGTATAAGTTTTGCCTCAGGTATGAGTATGTTTCTGTGTAGAAGACCGATGAGTCTTCTGCCCTTGGAAACTACTGAGTCTGCATACTCCGTAAAAGTCAAACTTCTGGAGTAAGTGATTCCGAGGTCTTTCACAGTGTTGTATACCTGCAGTGCAATATCACCCAAGTGTAGCGTTACTTCTGGGTGGGATTTATTGAAATGGAGGATGCCACTTTTATTTGGGTTTAGAGGGAGCTGCCAGGTCTCGCTCCATATGAATATCCTCTTCAGATCTTCTTGTATTTGAGAGAAACCCTGTGTTAGTGCTGCAGGAGAAAAGCTGTAGACTATCTTCAAGTCGTCAGCGAAAAGGTAGGGTATGCCATTTCGGATAACACTGCAGATATCGTTTACATAGATTAGGAAAAGTATCGGTCCTAGCACACTACCCTGGACGACACCACTTTGTATAAGTCTAGGGGTGGAGTAGCAATTACTGAATTTTACTACTTGGAAGCGACCCTCTAAAGATGTTCTGAGCCAGGACAGTAACGGGTCTCGGAAACCATATGATTGCAACTTAGTGACCAGGCGTTTGTGAGGCACCTTATCGAATGCTTGCTTGAAGTCTAAGAAAAGGGTAGTTACAAATAGGCCTTGGTCACGCTTGCTTGTAACGTTGTCTAGATAGTCAAGATAGCTTGTAGTGCATGACCGGCCTTTCAAGAATCCATGTTGTGCTGGTGAGAGTAATTGGTTATCGTCATATAGTCGACAACTGCTTTCACAATCACCTTTTCCATAGTCCTGGATACTACTGACGTGATGTTTATAGGTCGGTAGTTTTCTATATTAGATGTTGGTCCACATTTATGCTTAGGACATATGTATGATAGTTTCCAGTTCTCAGGGTAATTGCCACTGGAGAGGGACGTATTAAAGAGCTTCAAGAGAATCAGCGGTATATCTTCGCCACCTCTTTTTAACAAGATGGTTGGAATTCCATCAGGCCCCGCACTGTATGAGGTTCGAAGTGATGCTATAGCTAGAGAAATGTTTTGTTTAGAGAAGAGCACTGTACTTATGGAGTGAGTTGGTGTTGACGGTGCACCAATGACTTTTATTTCGTCCTCTTGTGTAAAGCAGCTAGCAAACTGGTAACCGAACAGCTCGCTGATTTGTAGTGGGTTATCGTAGAGGATGCCGTTGTCCATGATTAAACTAGGGGTACTATTTCTGGAGCTACTTATCCGGGTTTTCATCAGTCTCACTAGTGCTTCTGTATTACTAGTTTTACTACATTGGATGCGTTCTTGTTTAACGGCTTCTATTACTCTTTCTGCCTTGAATGTGTCGTATGTGTCTTTGAGTGTGACAAGCGACGAAAAGTCATTCGACTTATAGTACTCTCTGACATGGTTTCGCATGCGGATGCGTACTTTCTTTGGTATATAGTCAGCTCTGTTTTTCTTAATTTCTCTTCGGAGCGGTGGAGCAACATAGTCTTGAGCTGTGCCTATATATTCATAGAATAGATCACAGAGTTCTTTGGCTGAACTGTTGGTAAAGTAGGGGCTCCAATCTAGGCAGCGCAGAAACGATTGTAGTTTGTCCCATTTGGCTTACTTGTTCCTGACTTTTGGGCCAATTTTGTGCTGGATATGTCGAAGTATCCATATACAATCTTGTGATCGCTATCTGGAAGTTGTGTACCCACTTGGAGTTTTGTGGGTGTGGTTCCGTTTGTGAAGACTACGTCCAGGACACTATTGTACCTGGTAAGGTGTTCCACATGTTGTTGCCAACCCTCTGTTTCAAGAATGCTTATGAATTTATCAAAGCGCTCTGGATAGCTGGCTGGCTGCCACGTTATACCTGGCATGCTAAAGTCACCACATATAATTTTCACTGTGTGTGGTAGTGTTGCCACGCGGGCGAACACGCTTGTTGGCTTGTCGTCGTATTCAGCTGAGGAGGAAGGGGGCCGGTAAATGCGTCCTATTAGGAGGGAAGTGGAGCGAGTAAGTTTGGCGATGATCCATACTGAGTCGTCAATCTCGTTTAGCTCAGATGTAGGGCTCTGCGTAGCAGTGATGTCCGACTTTATATAGATAATGCACCTTCCTCCCTTACTATGTAGTCTGTCCCTCCTGAACGAGGAATAGTTGTCAATGGAGATCTCTGCGTCACAAATATCAGAGGTACAGCATGTTTCTGTAACCATTATCACCGACGGATCACTTATCAGAGATAGCAGCATAAGCTCTTTCATTTTGTTGCGTATAGAGCAGGCATTAATCAGGCAAAACGAGAGCAAGTTAAGAGTATAAAAGTGTTTGAATACATCTCGAAAAAAGTCAGCACCTTTGTACATTTCTTGTGGGTCCTTTGCGTACATCGTGCTGGCGATGTCATGACCTTTCGTACAGGGTGACGATTCGGTACTGTTTACCCCAAAAGGGGGGAGGTATTCACCACATTGTGATCGGTATAGACTGTTGGTCAGGGTAGAGAGCAGATGATCCGACAGAATCCGAATCACCTGCATAGCCAACACTTCATCTGTCAATGACCTCGCACCACTGCTGTCGATAGTGTGAATAGTGAAAACGAGCGGTGTGACTCATATTTGACAATTCTGGATGTCCACTATGATACAGAGCCTTTGTGGTCTGCTTAAACGGTGGTCCAGGTATCTAAGAGGAGTTCCTTTACTTTGGCTCATGGTGGAACGGTCGCTGATGTTGCAGTGAGACCGAATTCGCTCCATGGCAGACATTATTCGCAAAGCTTTGGAACATTTGTGGTGCATACAGAAGAGTGAAAAGCAAACGCAGAAATTCAAGTATCTTAACGGATGTACTACTAGCCGTTTCAGAGTTATCTTCTGCTGCTATAGATGTCTCCTCGTACACTCAGACTAATTCGATCATGAAAAATGCATTCACCTCACATAAAGTCGCAACCAAGTCTTGGGTGTGAGGCATCCGACAGAAATCAGACGTTGCCTCCATGTTAAGCCGCCCGTGATCCGCGACTGGGTGCCAATGATTGCTATCCCTTTCGGACTACATATCCATCGGCGACGACCTATGTTTGGGATTTAGTCCATAGAATTGGTGTCTATACGTGACGGAGTAGGATTTGGTTGTCACAACTCCAAATAATTTTTCTAATACTTCCCGATAGGACGCATCGACTGAGTGCTTCGTTTTAACCGTGGCTAAACTCAGGACTATGTAGGTGATTCCGCTATTTGAATACTACGAGCTGTTATTTGTCGGTTGTTGTTGGCAGGTATCTGAGAGCAGGTCATAATGGTTTAGCGAATCTACGTTAACGTTGAGCGTGGAAATATCGGCTATAAGGCGAACTCCATGGGTTGGGTTTGCGCCAGCCCAAATTAAGACAGTGGTACCTTTTCCTGTAGGTCACCATTACTTTTGCTTGTTTGGAGGCTGAAAAATGAGTCACTACAATGTTCGCTAGTAGTTGGACAAAAGCTGCGGCCCACTTGAACCTTGAGCTACCGATGAAATTCTCCTCCGGACCTATGTCAAATGCTTTTCTTTCAGTTTGCCTTCTTCTTGCAAATGTGTCTTTTGAGTGTACCACGTATTTAGTTTTATGGCCTATTCTGTACCTGGTTAGCATAAATAATTTGTCTCTTCAAGTGCCCTTAAGATTTCTTCCCATTTTGATGATACGAAGCTATGGAGATAAATCGAAAATGAAAAAAGGCTTATTTTGCCAGCCCCTTCGACCCAGCTGCAATGTGCAGCCTATTACAAATGGACTCACCCTCAGGTCCGGATTATGTTAGACGGCGTACCTGCTGCTCAGTGTGCATCACAAGAACTCAACGAAGTATTGGTCAAGGAATTTTTGACAGACAAGCGTCCTGGGGTCTAAGTCAGACTTCGCACTTACTGTGGAGACCTATGTACCGAGAAAATTCCGCTTATGAAACCTTGAGAGAAATCTTTGAACATTTAGATTACAGTAAGCTCAAATACAGAATGTAATACCATAGTCTGCTTCGTTTACTTCAAAAAGGTTAGAATATTTAGAACACGTGATAAGACGCTGAACCGAAAAATTTTGTGAACTGCGGTTCAGGCCATACAAAGGACCTTCGAACACAGAGCAATGATAGGTGATCTAACGATGATGCTCAGCATTCCAAACACCTCAGGCAGTTTACTACATCAGCTGCTCAATCCGAGCTCCAATGTAAAATTCAAGGTGTGAGTTAAAAAGTTAAAATTTGGACTTACTAGAACCAACGATCAGGGTATGCTGCACTTGCTATGGGATGTCAAGACCTACAACGCTCTCCTGATTCCGTCGTCTGTTCAAGCCGCAACAGACTCCTAAAAATAAAAGCTGGATAATTAATTAACCGATTGTCCTTCTGCTTTTTCCCTGAAATCGGAAAGTGACTAACCGTTCCAAACAAGGAAAGCGTTCTGTAGAGGAAAATGGGGGACCCAAGAAACCATTCTTTGCGATTCCTATGACACGAAGTTTGGGGTCAGTGCTTATGTCTTTAGATTAGGTCAATTATAACTTGCTTTTGCTTGCCACCCGTTTCTATAGTCCAGTTACGGCGCAAAAATAGTAATTCACTGTCTTACGAAGTGAAAACAAAATAATCGAGAGCCTCTATTCCGATCTTGGTTACATTTTTAATTATTTACTGGCTTTATTAGCTCCAATGGTGAGTTTAAAATGGAAGAAGCTTATGTTACACAGTTTCAACCTACTGAATCTAGTCGGTTATAAGCTTCTTTAGTTGCGTTACGACCACCTTATTACTATTGAAACTATTTGTTACCTCGAATCAATTCAGTGTTTGTAATTTGGTTACACAGGTCAAATACGAAAAGTGACCTTGAAGGGTGTTGTGCACATTGTTAGATAGATGACGCTGGATAGGAGTAGTTTTCATTATGGTACAAATATAATTGCACGCCGTGGGGCTCTGCGGCAAAAAAATGTCACGGAAGTTAAAGGTCATAAATTTGTAGCTAAGTTTTTCAAACAGTTCACATTTTGCGGACACTGCAAAGATTTCATATGGTAATTTTTCTCCCTTACTTATGCATTTTCAGGGGTCTTGGAAAACAAGGTGTTCAGTGTCAGATATGCTGCTTTGCTGCTCACAAGAGATGTCACCAGTTTGTAGCGTTTAAATGTCCTGGTGCAGACTTAGGACCAGAGTGTGATGTAATCATCACTTGTATTCACCTCCCTGTTGTAGGCAAAAAAGTGCCACAAATTCAGGCCACATAATTACTCCAGTCCTACTTTTTGTGACCACTGTGGCTCACTGCTCTACGGACTTGTTCAACAAGGTTTAAAATGTCAAAGTATGCTGTTTATACAAGTTCATGTTTTTCTCATCAGGTTGTGATATGAATGTTCACAAAAGGTGCGAGACAAACGTTCCCCGTCTTTGTGGAGTAGATCATACTGAACGCCGTGGGCGTATCTACCTCAAAATCACCTGGCAAGAATCCACATTTGTTGTTGAAGGTAAGTTGTGATTTGTATAAATTCTTAACAAAGCATTATTTGAGAAGATTGAACATTATTTTCTGTCAATACTAGGTTCTTTTCACTTTCAAAAGTTTGCCCCATTCGGATTGTGTCCAAGTGATCCCAATTACATTACAGATTGGTAATTATTTCCCTTGTTTTTCGAGGTGGTTATGAAGTTGGTTGTTCCAGTCAACTGTAACATCATGTTAACTTTTCCTGTGGATGTTTTAGGCTATTGTACTCTCCTGTTGGTGTGTATATGTATATAACATCTGTTGGAAGTTCATTTCTTTTCATGATGTTCTACTACTTATTAGTTCCGATTTTGGTAGCAGGTATTTCATCAGTTTTTCCGGTTACCGAGGTGTCAACCAAAAATAATTTTGGCATTGGCCATAAGCTAATCTTACACCCATTTTCTGCATTAACGAAGGATTTCAAATTTCCAGCATTTATGTTGTAGGTGATAGCTAAATGGTGTAAATGTCTGAAGTGATTTCCAGAAGTTGTTTGTAATTCGCAAAATTGCTGGAACTGATTGTGGATTCTTTCCTCCTAAATTCAGGCTACTGACAGTTCAGTAGAAAAGTAGTACATAAGTTCACGGTTTTACATCAATTATCAAAGGTCAGTCATGTTTTAGAGACTTACTTTTATTACCAAAAAGAAAAATCCGATGCCGCTTAAGCATGAAAAATAATATAACAAAAATGCCTGAAACAGAGGGGGAAAAACGGAAAAGCTACTGCAGCAAGAATATAAATGAGCCAGTAAAGAAGCAGGTACAACATTCTGTACTCTTGTTTATTTTGAATAATAGAAAGGAGTTTGAGTACAATATAAGTAATTGAATTGAGTGTATCTCCATAACATCGATTCATAGGCAAGGTTTTTACTTACTTGACTTAGTTGACTAATGATGACTTTGCATTTATAAATCTCGATGCTAAGGAATTTGTAAACGACTACCACTATGATCATATTCGTTTTGGTTGTTCCATTCATTCACGGTCTCGGCGTTCTAGTTCGTTTTAAAATTCCTAGTAGGTACTTTTGCCAAACTTCCGTACTAGTTTAACTTATTTTTCCGTTTGTTACAACATGATGTGGGATTAACAACAGTCTGCATAAAACTAGCATGCTGAAAACTTCACAGAAGTAGGTATTAATGGCTATCAAATCAGTTTTCCTCAACTTTACATGGATAGGTTAAGCAATATTGGATTAGTAGCACATATTGGTATAGTATTGTTTAGTAGATGACGTTTTGGGCATAATATATTTTTCGTAATCATATTTTTATGGTCTGTAAATTATAGTCTAATATAGGATTATATTCTTTCTCAGTCCCCTAATTCTATACTTATATTAGTCAACGTTGGAAGCAGCTACATAGAATCAATCAGTCAAAATAAAGTGTACACTGCTTGTTGCAGCTTAGGTTAGTGCTAGCTGAGAAATAATACGGGTTAGCACTTCCATATTTAACTCACCACCAGCAGTGTATCAGGTGATCACACTATTTAGTCATTCCTGACGTTCGTAGTAGGTAAATTGAGTGTTCTTTTCAAGAAACTCCCACCTGTAGCTGAAAGAGTAAGAAAGTAAAGAATTTTTTTTTTTGTTTGCAACAACTGTTAGAAATAAGAAGTCGTCTCTGAAGCAACGAGAGTTTATTTACTCTGGTTCCAAAACAGGTTTGAGTGGCATGTGACTCAGTATTAATCTGATGGTAGTAGGTTTTAAATCCTTCCTTTGGACTAGTTTGCTATAAAATATAACACTGAACATGATGGATAGTGCAGCCTACCGAGATAAAATTAGATTTTGTATAAGAACTGACGTTATGGAAGCTATACATTTCAAGAATACAATCGCTTGCGGCAGTGATCACTGAATAATTCAGTTTATAAGACTGGTCCGGAGATTTTAGTGATTTCAGCTAGGCAGTTGAGAAATAGACGGTGTTCGTACCCACCAAACAACTCTTGTAGTCTCTTAAGCTCCTGTAATATGAATATATGAACAATCAATTGTTACCGTATTTTTTAACCCCGAGTCATCTATACTCTGTCAGTGTTTGATCTAATTAGCTCATGCCGAATCTTACGGTGAACTGAAGTCATGACACTGTTGTCACTTAGTGATTTTCTTAACGTACAAACAGTTTGGTTACCGTCGACATGTTTGTTTACAACGCAGTTTTGCATTCGTTTTCATCACGTGAAACTACTGCTATAAGCTGAAAATAGGCGATTTTCATTCACAGCATCACTTCAATTAAGGAAGAACTAAGACCCATTATCATAGTGTGGTGATCTCACATTTCAATCCGTAGATACTAAGCAAAAGAAGTAGGTCAGTGGTGGTGAGTATATGTACATCTACATCTACATCAAATCTATCTAGTAAAATACTGGTATTCAAAATTTGAAAAAGATTATGACTATCGAAATTGTCGCAGTTTTTGTAGATCAAATACCAAATAAAGTTCATCAGAATTTCCGCTTTGATGTTTCGTTTCTTTCTTTAAGCACTTACCTTTGTTTTATGCGTAGCAGGTCATTTTTGTGGGTTCAAGTCTTTAATATAGCTTTTTTAATGTAAATTTTGTCTGAAACGGAACTTGTATAGCAACAGGTTTACTTGTTTCTGCGTTGTTTGTTTTTATTTGAAGAGGTATAAAACTTTTATGAAGTTACTTGTATTCGTAACAACTAATTGGCATTAAGCGAAACAAATTTTGTTTTCCTGTGTATTATTATTAAAGCGGGTTGTTGTCAAAAAGATACCTATAAAACTACTTATATGGAGGTCACAGCACTAGCTTTGTATTTTATCTTTGATAAAGATGATAATTCGTCAGCTCAAACTCTTTGTCGTGGAACAGCAATTTGATGCTTTCATGTGTGTAAATGCAGTATTAATTCACGAGTAAAATCAAATAAATCGTTCAACATAGTGGCTAGACCTATCTAATATTTTACAATTAAAGTCAAGGGCTATTGTGAAGTTATTTTCATCTTTTGAATTTAAAATGGAAAAGAAGTGGTAGCTTTGTTGATTGTCTTGGTGTAATCGCTTTATTCTTATCAACACCTACATTCTTTGTCCTTTGTATCTTGATAGTATTGTTTTACTATTTTTGTGGTAGACACCTTTGTGCACTAGCTTGTTCCATCTGAATCATTGACCCGTGAATATTTCATTGGCTTGAGGTTGAAATTTGAGTAACTTTACATTGCGTGTGTTGCGAATTTGAATAAAGAACTGATACTTGCTCCTTACCTTACTTAACACGACTAATTATTAATTTTTCTAACTTGAATTTACGACATATTGATATATCAGCGAGTCTATTTCTTCACTTTCGAAATCTTTTACTTGTATTTTTTAAAATGTTTAAACTGCTTAGTTAAAGAAGGAAGGAATCTTATTCCAATGGATCCAAATGGTCTTGCTGATCCATATGTCAAAATTAAATTTGGACCAAGCGACGAATTCGGACGTAAATTCAAAACTAAAACAGTGAAGTCCAACCTCAATCCTGTATGGGATGAAACGTTTACTATGTAAGTTAAGGTTCGTATATATATATATATATATATATATATATATATATATATATATATATATATATATATATATATATATATATATATATATGATTCGGCAAACATTTGTTTTCATTGTCTTCACGCTACACAAATGCATTCGAATGTATAAAGTGTTGAATTAAGTTGGGGTAAACTGCAGTTTGTTTTGTATGCTCATACGTAAATGTTCATTGACTGACTGCCAGTCGATTGTTCAGTTGCAAGTAGTACATCCGTATATGAAACTTTTACTCACTTATTTAGGCATTTTAATTTCATATCTTTATCACTGGACTTATTGATGGCTAGAAAGGTATATGGTACGATTGTCTTGTGCAACTGGTACGGATTGTAGCCTATTATGACCTGGCTACCTTGAGTTAACTGAAACGTTTGGTATAACATTGACTCCTATGAAGTTACTGACAAAAATACTTAGTTTTAGAAGCAAATGGGCGAATTAAAACTGTGGCGCAGTTAGATTTTTGGGATTCATTGTTTTTTTCTTTGAAAATCATTTAAAGGTACATCTTTATGGGTAAAGTAGTGCAAAAAAGAGGGGTGGAAAAATTTCACCTATTTTTACTTCAAGAACTACTAAATTAAACATAGATGCTAAATTTTATTTTCTGAAAGCAATGAGCACCACCAGATGTTGGCACTTTTTAGTACAGAACCTTACTGACAGACTGTTTTTTCCATTACCAACGACATAGCTTACTACAGTGCACTTACAACAACCATCTTCCTATAGATACATATCTTCTTACCGTTCTCTGCCTATGCATGTCATTTTCTTCGATTCAATACATTTCTTACTTGGTTATGGCCATCTCTTTGTGCTTATTTTTACTCTGACGTGGTTTTTTAATTGTTACTTTAAACCTCATCAAAATATTCTGATTATCCAGGAGCCGTGGCTCATTCGTTTAGGCAGATGACTTTTAACCAATGAGTCGTGGGTTCGAGCCAGGTAATATCACTAGCCCTCATACAATAGGCCTGGCTCATTACCTACTGCACGAATGTGCACAGGGTTGATGAGTACATTTCTATATTTCTATTGTCCAGGATATCTGTATGTATAAGATAGTATGAAAATACCTTAAATTTTATATTCCTTTTCGTTTGGTTAAATGTTACCTAAATAGACGTATTGCAACAAGTAGCATACCGCTTATTATTTCACTTAAAAGAAGATTGATCTACTATCCAGAACTAGAAAGAAGCATTTAATGATTTAAAGTTGATAAATCGTTCGTTAATCAACTAAATGTTTTCTAAATAGCATATATACATTTTCCTTTCCAAACACAATAACTGACATACAAATCCCTATCATATCAAAGTGGGTTTCATATTTTCCGGTGTCTGAATTATTGGGGAGCTGTAGTTAACAAAATCTGACTCAAATGGTGAAGTTATGTTTTCGATCCCGAAATTTGCAAGTGGTGTTCACATGACTTCCCTCCACAGGACCGAAGTGATAAAATTATCTGTATTTTCAGAAAGATATCGCAGTGCGGTACTGAAGAAGTTAATTATGATAAGTGTATCACTCTGTGTGAAAAGGAAATATCGCTTATTAAAGAGGATCTTAAGCATAAAACACTGAAGCCTCATCAAATCAATATCCACTCACATGACTTTTGAATTGTAATGGGAATTTTTAATGATACCAAACAAGTGTAAAACTTGGAGATTTTGAACCCATTTAGTGCACGGAAAGTACTTTTCATCTTGTAAAGGAAATATGTACAGTGAACGTGGGCGGACAGTAATCAAAATTGACAAGAGCACAATTTATCAAACAACCTTTCAAGTATCAGTGCTTTAAAGACGGTGTTGTCTATTTCATTGTACAACGAACAAGGAAGATAAATGCTTTAATTAAACGGAGAGCGAAAACCTTTCACTATGTTGCCTCTCAAAGGTGTTATAAACCCTCCTAAGCCTAGTATCCTGTTATTCGTAAACGGTTGACATTTATCCACCACATTTTCAAGTAATATCCATATTTCCGTCTCCAGGGCGTATTATAATCGTTTGCACAGACTGATTTGACAAATCGCTATTATATATTATCCAGCTATTGATGAATCGTTTATTGTTTACTTAGTGATCTACATCCTGAAGATGAGTCAAAGCGATTGAATTTCGAGGTTTGGGATTGGGATCGTGCATCACGTGATGACTTCATGGGTGCTTTATCGTTTGGAGTTACTGAGCTGATTAAAAAGCCTGTTGATTGTTGGTTCAAACTGCTGAGTCAAGAAGAAGGCGAGTATTATTCAATTCCTTGTACAACGGACAATAACACTCCATCGTACGCAGATTTAGCTTCTGAATATGAGGTACATGCAGGGGTTTATATATATATATATATATATATATATATATATATATATATATATATATATATATATATATATATATATATATATATTAAAATTAACTTTTTTTTGTTCAGAAATTGTAATCATGCTGTTCATCACACACTGATCAAACTTATTTTATGTTCATTAGTTGACGGGGTTAGATGTGATGATGTCCTGAACCTACGCTTTATGTTTGTTGTGGTTTGTCGGAAACATGTACTGGAAACCGCTAGGAGACTCCTGTTTCTAAGGAATCATTTAGTTTCATATTCATCGGTGTTACAACTAAGCTATTGAAGCCTAGATATGTTCTGCTGTCCGATAAAGAATATGCATTCTCGTAATTTAGTTATCAGTACCAGTGAATTTTACGTACAAGCACAAAATTTATAATGAGCATCTTTCGTTCTCTTGTAACCGTTCAGTACCGAATGAAATAGATTGTACTTTTCAACCAATTTACTTATTGATAGCACTCAATAATTTGGCTGATAAGCTTTCAGCTTGTTTGTGTTGTATCGTCTGACACTGTATGCTTATCTGATTACTAGTATAGTCATCAGTTACTTCTTTCCTTTTAACTCTATATGATGATCGTATCCTACGGTTTACATACATCAAGTGCTTACAGCATTTCGCTAAATGCAGCTTTTCCCTTGGTAAATTCAATAGAGTAGGTTTAAAAGGATTAAGTTATCCATTAGAAGTGAATATGTGGCCCATTCACGGATGGTCAACTTCCACTTATCGCATTAACAGTCTACTGAGGTGCAGACAATCAGACAGTATCACTAGTCATCATACAAAAATGTGGTGCGTATCTGAGTGCGCTGACCTGAATTTGCTTGCCTAGTTACAGCCCTTGTATATTTTAAAGATTTTATCGTACCTTTTCTATATATGAAAATAGACTACTAACCATTTTTATAGTTCTCAGCGTATGATTAGCATCTCAAAAAATTTATAATTCTATTCATTTTTTTTCTCATCTTCATACTGGTTTCATTTCTCTCTCGAAGTCAGTGACAAAAATATGACCATCTCATGTTACATTTCGGTTAAAGACTGTTGTCGTAAATCATAAATCTGTTTGCATGTGTATCGTGTTGATAATACTGCTCATCTTACATTAGCTAGGAAAGTTTCTATAAAATACATGACAGCCAACGGTCGATAGTCACATGAATCAAATACACTCGATATATATGTATAGTTATAAATAGCGCTTCCTGTCAGTTTCCGGGAAAAACGAAATGAACTAGATAAGTAATCAACAAAGTGGTTGCTATATGTGTATGTGCCTATGTTCATAACTCGTGTAAAAAGCAGGAAAACAACAATTAAGTTTGTTTCTTTTCGTTGTACACAATTTCATTGTATTCATGGAATAACATGAATCGTTCTGTCGTATTTATCTACAAGATAAGTGGAAAGACAGCGTTACCTATTTCGATTTCTTGTAGGGGGAAACAAATATCTTCGGTAAACAAATAAACGTTTTTATGTTATCTTATCAGTATTTAAAGTAGAATTTTAGCAGTGTACTGGGTTGCCATTTTGTGCTTCTTCCCTTCATTAGATATACTACAGTCTGTTGTCCGTTGGACAGAACATTCGATGTAGTAGCCGTAGAAGTAATAGTAGTGGTAGTAGTAACATAACAACGGTAATTTCATACAATTTGTCTCCTTGATGAACTTGAACAACTCAATAAGAGTACAATTTGCGGATCACATCATTCATTCACAAGATTTTCATCAGGTACATGCAACCTAAATAAATAAATAAACGGTGTACAAATGTATGCATAAATGTAACTTCTTTTAGAATTAGTTCACAATTAGAAGATATACAAGCGTACAGTATTGCATTCAACTAGCTCCAATTGGTCGTTACTCTTACATACATTATTTTTTTTATGTATAATTCATTAAACCAATCATGGTGAATACTTTAGTCTGTGGTAACAACGTAATGAAACGTATGCAACTATTAACTATCTAGATAATAATCATGATAATAATAATAATAGTAATTTTAGTATTTATCCTAGTGATGATAAGAATAATGAGAACGGTGTGATACTGCAGACATTTATTTAAACAAAAAACAAATGTCAGAACTTAGAGATATAACACTGATACGATTATGGGCAATAATTTGTGTTTGAAACGTCATCAAGTAAATAATACTGTATCACTGTGTGCTATATATCAAATGAACAAATCTAATATGGAATTAAAGAACTATGAAAATAAAAGGAAGTATGTGGATGATCAAGGTCTACAAAATATGAGAATATGTATGTGAAAGGAGCAATGAAAAAGAAAAAAATTGGAAAAATTGTTTTTTTTATCTTTGAAGTTGTTTATTAGGTTTTCCCTGGGTTGTACAAACATTTTCTGCCCAATCCTCCACTGATCCTCTCCAATGATGACTGACTTACAGTAATTGATCATTTTGTTTCCATCGTCGGTTGATGCCGGGGGACGCCATGTGAGGCATTGTCTTACTTATGCCTAAAGTTAATACTGGCTAGGAACAAGTGGTTATCGGAACGAAATGGCAACAGACGATCACCGTTGTTGGTTTGTTGGCATGAGATTTCGTAGATACCCCCAAGGTGCGTTTCCGACTGGCTCAGCTTCCCTACTTTAGCGTTGAAGTTACTTACCATTATGACTGCACCTGAACGTCTTGCTTTTTATGGCAGAACTCAGCATTTCATAGAATTCATCCTTTGCATCATCCGAACTATAGTCGGTGGGTGCATAGCAGAGATTACGAACAGGCATCACCTAGTCTCATAATATTTTCTTGTTCTTACAGATCCACTGAGTTGAACAGTACATAGACGGCTGTTGACTTGTATACAGTCAAGAAGCACACTTTCTGCTCTACAGTTCAGTGCTATGCATTGAAACTAAACCTTCAACGTATTGAGGATTGGCGAATAGTATGAGGTCGCTAGTTACTTTGATAAAGTTTTGCTAAAATGCAAATCCAATTTATCATTTAATGCTATGAAAGGTTTCAGTTCATGGGAAATACTTCGCGGGTACCTATCGTAAGTACTAAATGATGAAGTTGCAATGCTAATGACAACAGTATTGTCAGTACAGATAATGTATGTGGAAGCCTTTGAAACGTCAGATAGGGATTGAGGATGTGTATAGGCTACTCATATTTGACTGTTACTGTTTGTGTAGCGCATGGTGTGTAGCAGACGCAACAAGTGATCAACGTCATGGGTACAATACTGGACGAATGAGTAAGTCAGCTGACGAAATTGTAGAGGTTTATCGACTGGTTTATTTCGGGACATATTATCTTGCCTCATTGTATTATGTCACCATGGTGTAAACAAAAGAGAAAACTCACAGATTAGTCACACTAAGACGTTTCCATCTTATAAAACTTCTTACTATTAGCTCCAGTCTTCCAGGGAATTTAAGTTTAGAGAGATGAATAAAATGTGTGACTAGAGACTTAAGCGAATACATTTCAAAATCAGTCGACGTCCTTTATCTTCTTCAAAATGTCTCATTGTTCTGTTTCCTTTTGTCCTATCTTATATTGTTTCCATTTCATCCTTCTAGTTTTTGACCACTATTCAAATCATTATTGATATCTTTTTATTTTTCCCTTAGTTGGTTCCCTTCACCTTTTTGTGTGAAGCATGGCGATTTGGTTGGATACGTATCTAACTTATCTAACTTTCACTGACACCTGCGTGTCTAGTCAGTATTCACCATTTTAAAGTACAAATTAGAGGTTACCTAAGTCTCTGTATATTTCTTCATTGAATCACTGCCCTCATTCTGAATCCTTATCATTGTTTTGTTAACCTTTCGCGCTGGAAGTAACTTAATCTGACTTAGCTAGTTTTGAACTGTCACCATAAGTTATAGTAAAATAAGTGGTCATTTTACTTGATGCTGAAAAATCTAACAGCATATATCGTCAAAATGAAGATGGAAAATATTTGGTTTTTCAGTACTCTAGTTTTCATCTGAAAAGTTTTCACTATTACATCATGATTTTAGATTCATTCTGACAGTGAATGAGAATGTTGTATAATGTTTTTGGTTAAATTGAAAACTCAACTGTTATAGAGTTCTACGTATGAAAAACACCTTGAAATCACATTGTGCAGTGTTTTAATAAGTAGCTGAAGATAAAATAAGTATTAGAGTAATCTGCCCGGTGGCTAGTGGTGGAATTCATGATGCGTGTTCTGTCCTATTTGGGACTCGTCAGCGTTGTTCTCACTGGATTCGAACCCAGTACCAGTCGCTTCAAACGCCAAGACGTTATCTACTAGACTACTGGCGCACGGGCCACCTCTTGCGCAACCGGTATCAAGCGTTGTGGGCCTTGTGCCGCAGTGGTCTGGTGGATAGGGCTTTAGAGTTTGAAGCGATGAGAACTAGGTCCGAGTCTCAGTGAAAACAACTCTATTGACTAGGACGCAGGTATATGCAGCTGACGAGTAGGTCCCAAATTAGTCGAAACGCTGCTAGCCATGAACCAGACTATAATATAATGAGTAATCAGGCAGTACCGAGGCGTCTGCATTGGAGCCTATCTTCCAACAGAGGTCGAGCAATTCGACTCTGTGTGTCAGCATGTATCAAACAAGTACTGAACTACTTGAATATTGGGAATGATATGTTCAATAAGCGATAAAAGGTTGTTTGTGACCATTTATGGACAATATACTCCAGAACTGTCAGTTCACACGTAGTCATTAGACATTTCATAAAGATCTTTTCAACTGTGTTCTCTAGAGCTGCTCCTCACTGGTTTAGACATTTGATTTGCTACGGTGGGTCACAAATTCTTATCTCTCCCCATCTGTCGAGGTAATACCACCTATCACTCAGTAGGTGTAGCTCATTACCTACTGCTCGAATGTGTACGTGGTTTCTGAGTGGATTTCAATTGCGGTCTGCTGTACCTATATAAGTCAGTGG